GGATGAGAAGTTCCACGAATGAAGTCCCGAGACACAAACGAATCCTAAATGACATATAATGGCATATATTGTCATGAATATAGTGTTTAGAAGCAACCACATGCAAGGAAACACCCTTAAGGATTAGGAAACACTTAGACCAAGTGTTAGAATCACATGTGATTCCTCTAAGGGGAGTGTACGTCCACTAAATGGAGTGTGTGACCATGGGTGTACGGCCATGGAGTGTACGACCATACACTCATGGTAACAAGTGCACAAAAGTTTGCTTGAATGATAGGGAAGCTTGTGGGACTATTGCTCATCAAGTGTTGAAGCTAGATTTGCATTTTGGAGGCCCTTTGGGGGTGTTTTGAGGGGTGTACGACCACACATGGGTGTACGGCCGTACACTCCTTTTGATCTTGAGTTTTGGTCGTTTTTAGGGTGTTAATCAAGTGTTCCTAACATGTACTAAGCATAGGGAAGGAGTACTTACGATTTGGAGGCTCAAGAGGGTTTACAATCACCAAGAACAAGTGTGTGTTCTTGGTGATATGGATGAAGATTTGAACATCTACCCAAAAGATGATTTGCATGGATGAAATCAAAGGGTGTTACTAGGTTAAGAAGAATAACAACAAATCAAAACGGAAGAAAGGCTTACATTCTTGAAGATCGGGGTGAAAAGCTTGATGATAGTTGAGAGAAAACTCGAGTTCTTGACTTGGAAACTGAAGAAATGACCCATGAATGAAGGGATATCACACTTATGGAGGGGGTGTACGGCCGTAAACTCATGTGTACGGCCGTACACTCCCTCAAATGGAGTGTTCGACTCGATTTCAACGCGAAGAACTTACGCAACTCAATCCTATACTCAATGCTTGAATGTACTGAGCTTAGAACCCTCAAACAGACTCTAAACAATGCTAACTGATAGCAGAAACGGGTCTGACACTCGGTTGGATTGAATGGCTGAACTTACAAGGCAAAGATTTTCGGGTTGTCACAAATAATAATTTGATTGAGGACTAGCAAAAGCCAAGTGTGAGATATTTTGATATATAATAAATTGTACATATTCTAAGGGACATATTTAATACTTTTCTACACAATTTTATAGATATTTGATACTGAAAATATATAAATTTATATTTTGCAGATTAAAAGAACTAAAATATAAAATAGAATATATTTAGAGAATATTTGGAAGAAGTTTGTAGGTTAAACTCTAAGCATGATTCATATAAAAGATATCTCTAGAATAGTAGAAGATTTTGAAGATTTCTGAAGATCTTGCAATTCGCGCCCCAAATGTTCTGTCGCGCCGCGATTTAAGTCGGCCTAAAATATGTATAAATTAAGTTGATTTTCGTTCAAAAGAAAGAGAGAGAACAACTAGAAGGTCTGGAGAGAAAGGGAACATTAAGAACCCTAAACAGAGTTGAAGATATATCCAGTTGAAGTTATGAAGAATTTTGGTTTGCAATATGTTTAATTTCTTTATTCTTATTAGTTATCTAGTTTTGATTATGAGCTAAGTCCCTATACTTTTGATTAGATGTAGAATATTTATTAATATAATTTAATTCATTGAAAAGAGTTTGATAGCTATTCAATTTATTATGTTAATGATTGACTAAAGATCCATGAGTATTGATAATGATTATGTTATGTTTATGTAACCGAGTGCACGGTTTATGATTAGGTTCAGAATATGTATCTTGAATCACATTGTTTGTTAACTTTTCCAAACTAAAAAATCGAGTCAAGAGCATAGACAATTATGACTAGTAGAGTGATACCATAGGTTAAACATAATAGAATAGAGATTAATATTTATGATTGATCCAATAACTTGGACAACTTGAGTGGTTGCCACCAACTCTAGGGCTAATCATATTTGTTAAATCGTTACATAATATGAAAAAATATACCGACTCTAAGGAAACTATCTTTGTCGATAAATAGCTTAAAGTCATAGGATTAATGATATTAGCATTGAGTTAATCAAATTAGAAATCAATGAGCATTTATAAAATTTCCACTGCACTTCGTATGAATTAACCATATTTCAATAGTGATTCAAAAATCTAATCAAATGTATCTTTTATTAATAGTATCTTGCTTATTTTAGAATTACTTTGTTTTATTATTTTATTTAGTACTCTGCGATTCCCCTTGAGTTCGACACCCTTACTTACTTTCACTAATACTATTCCCGACCAAGTACATTGCCTGGTGCTAGTAGTCAGTTTAATTTGTTAGGATTTATAAATTTAAAACTAATATTTGTAGTTTGAGTCAAGTTTATTTTATTAGACTATTTTACGCACATCAATGACCTGGGGATAAGAGAGTGAGAATAAGTGTGAAGATTAAGGTGTTGAATGGGTTTGTGAATACCGCTTTTGGCGTGCGTTTGCATCAGATGAGTCGGATGTGCGGATTCGGTAGAGTTTAAGGATGATGAGGTGGGAGTATCGGGCCAAGAGGTGGTAGGGGTGGGGTAAGAGGGTTGGACCGAGAATTAGAGGAGGATGAAAGGTTTGAGTGAGAAATAGGAGGAGATGGGACAATATATTGATGAAGAATGGGTAAGTGCATGCTAATGGTTATCTTGAACGAAGTCATAGGTAGGCACGGGAATTTATAGGCATGAGGATAGGGATGGCAAAAAACCCCATACCCGATGGGGAACCTGAAACCCACACCCGTTTTGACTGGGGAATCCCCAAATTGACAGGGGATAGGGACGGGGATGAGGAATCCCCGACTAAAAAAGTGGGGATGGGGATACCCTTACTCCCCGACCCTAGACCCACCCCCTATATA